ACCTTTGCAAAGGGAAAGCAAAATGTGAGTGACAACGTAAGTTTATTAGAAGCAGAATGACAGATGGCTGTGAAAAAGAGCGAGTACAATGCAAATGAATGAAAGCAGATAGAAGATGATTAAATATCAGAAAATATTATGTTTGTTGAAGCACAGATAGAATAAATTAAGCTAAATAGTATAGCAAGCACTAGAGTAGTGGAAAGTCATAATGATTACATTGAAAACAATATAGTAGCAATAAAAAAACAATATGGGAACTGCGTACAGAGTATAGTCATTATTTTGACCTTTTTAAAGTATAGTTCAATACTATTTGCATATAAAATGTTATGTTGGCAGTAGCTCAACTGCCAACATAAAGGGTTTCCCTGCGGGGCACCCAGGTGGCTCAGTCAGTTGAGTATCTGACTCTTGATTTTGGCTCAGGTCACGATCTCACAGTTCATGGGTTCTAGCCCCGCGCTGGGCTCTGTGCTGACAGTGCAGAGCCTGCTTGCGATTTTCTCTCTCCTCCCACTCCCCTTCTCACACCCTCTTTCTCTCTCTCAAAATAAATAAATAAACTTTAAAAAAAAAAGGTTCTTCTGCAAAGCTATTCAAGTCCTCCTAGGGAACTTCTGGGTCCCTAGAAAAACAGTTTGGAAACCCAAACTTGACAATGCTATGGCTTTGAAATGCCATAACAGAAGGGATTATGTAAATGATTATTATATACACGAATATGTTAAAGTACACGACTTGTTTATTCGGTTTTCTTGAACAAGCATTAACATGTTTGTAGTTTCAACACCAAACTGAAAGCCAATATCTTGGATTTTAGTTCTGACGCTCTTCAACTTTCTTTTTTTCAATAGGGTAAAATAAAAATTATTTGAACCAGATTATTTACTGTATAAAGATTGATGGTGGTCCTTCACTTTGCATGAAAATCAAGAGAACATAACAATATGAAAACTTTACAAAGGAGCCAAGCGACTTCTGGTTGAATGCTAAATATATAGCATTTATGTAAATACATCCACAGCCTTGGTGGGACATTCACAAGGTTAACATCTAATCCAGCAGCTTGATTTATCAGATCAAGTCTCTTCAATTATAGAAATGAATTGAGTTGAAACTCCGTATACCCAGATGTTACATTATGTTGTTTCTTATACCTTGTGAGAAAATTGCAGCCAGTCACACTGTCAGACCAAGCCTTCGAGGCTAGTCAGTCTACTCAGGTGATAGAATTGTAGTTCGTGGGTGAGCGTAGAATTAGAAGTGGATGTTCTTCCTTGGCGGAATTTCTTTATAAAACTCACCACTTACTACTTGTCTCCTGTATAGAATAGTAGTTTTATATACATTATGTTATTTAATTTTTGGCATATTAGATATTTATAGTTGAGGCAAGTAAGATTAAATAGCTTAGCCAAGGTCACCTGGCAAACAAATAAAAGCACTGGGTTCTGCACTGGTTTGCAAAGAATGCAGCCTTACCTCTACATTTTATTGTTTTCTTCAAAGTTTAAATTCTAGTTAGTTAACATTCATCTCCTATTTCTTAATGTCAGGTCTATCCCAGTCTTATCCATTTGAATATAGATGCTGGTCCCTTAGTTAGGCTTTAGTTTTTCTGGAACATATACACTATCTCTTAGAGCACCTCATCTAAAGGAGACCAGTAACATCCATTTTCTTTTAATTGGTACCTTCTTCTGCTGTAATTACATTGCTCAGACCGTGTCCCAACGTCAGAGTCACAGTTAACAAGAACAGAAGAAACACTGCCAGGTTTTATTAATTTATCTTATGTAATTATGCTCCTAATTTCCTAAAACCCAGATATTGTAGAATATGGATATAAATGTTATTAGGATAATTAATTTTTTCCCAACAGCCTATTACTGCTTCAACAAAACAAAATCTAATTTCTTTGTATCACAAAGAACTATTCCTACGATAAATACCTTTAGATTTTCCAATATTCAAGGCTTCTCAATGAACTTAGCAATTAAAAGTAGTAACCAAAATCAGAAAACAAACATTTTATAGAACTAAGAGCTTCTTAAACTAGCTCTATAAACTTAGAAGAAACGGACCTTTAACCATATGTGGTAAACTATAAGAGTCTGAAATTCAAACAGTTTTGGTTTATTGTATGAATAGAAATAGAGCTTTTTTTTATTCAAGTTTGTATCCTTTAAAAGGTAAATTAGCAAAAATCACCCAAGTTTGGGCTAGAATTTGGTCATGTGAAAAGAGGGATCGAAATGTAGCTGGGCAAGAATCATGAGAAGGGTGTTTGCTGTTGTTGTTTGCCTCTTCACGTATTTGCCTCATTGCCTCATTGTCCTTGCACAACTGGGAACACAGAAGGGAAAGCCAAGGAGGGCTGTGCACCTGGCTGCTGCGGGGGTGGGGGGGTGGGGGTCTGGGTTCCAGTGGGTTACGAAAGTGCTCCGTGTCAGCTTTGTAGCCGACCTAGAAGCTACACAGCTGGTCACAATTCCACTGAGCATAGAGGGAAGCCCAACAGTGATTCTCCAGACAGCTTCACTTGTTTTCAGACACGGGTCAAGAGAACTCTACGGTTGTGATTCGGAAGGAAGGAGGGGAGGGAGGGAGGAAGTGAGGGAGGAAGGAAGTGAGGAAGGAAGGGAGGGAGGAAGGAAGTGAGGGAGGAAGGGAAGGAGGAAGGAAGGGAGGGAGGGAGGAAGGGAGGGAGG